CACATTTTCAAGCAATATTGCATTACAAATGGACTCCCAAACTACGCTTTACATTGGGGAAATTTCCATGAGAAGAGACAGAGATAGAAATGCTATTTCAGTAAGTATGGGGGGTGAAAACTCTGCCCCCCGACACTTTAATCTCTGCATGCCATATCCAAGTCACTAAACCAGGGGCAGCTAATCTTGTCAAATATGGGAGGATTCAACGGAAAACTGTTTGCTCACATCGTCATATAAGCTCTCTACACAGCCTGATATATACACTGGCATATTCATGCATCACACACTAGCTATGCGGATTTTACATCATATGTACATCTATCCAGGCATGGTGTAGAATTAAATATTATAGAGACAGTTTAGTTTTAGTAAATGTTTTACGGCACTTGCAACACAGTAAGGTCATATGAGTGCTAAAGATTAGAGGTGTTACAAGAGAGTAACAAATACAAAAAAGGGGAGGAGATAGAGATGATAGATGTTTGATAGGAAAGAAAAAGCAAACCACACCAGAGCACCTGCCAACAACCCACATTTTAGAGACAGACAGACAGACAGACAGACAGATAGACAAACAACCGGACACACACACATCAGACAGACAGACAGACAAACAGACAGACAGACAGACAGACAGACAGACAGACAGACAGACAGACAGACAGACAGTCAGACAGACAGACAGACAGACAGACAGACAGACAGACACACACACACACACAGACACACACACACACAGACAGACAGTCTATTAAATTAACTTGCCGCTTATCTATCTATGCCGCATATTATTTGTGCTGAAAGTTCTGTTTCAATAGTCTACCTTAGCCACCACCCCTGTGGTTTTTGAGTTCACCACATTTTCTTTTTTAAATTCAGCTTAAATATTACTGCACCATTACTTCAAATAGAGTCACGAATATTCGAGACTCTATTTCAGTAAGTCAGGTCACGGTGACTTGATAAAATATTCATGAATTCACATCACTGGAACGCCAGGTTCTCTCTCGATAGTAATGAAAAAGATAAGATAAGATAATACTTTATTATCCAAGAGAAAAATATGGCTGGCAGGCAGTTTAGTAAGCTAAAATATTTGTTGTTGTTGTTGTTAGCGATCCAGTAGCATCTGAGCGTTAACTTTTCTGCATGATGCCATTCGGTAATAGTTGCATGTCTGTTCTAATTGTTGTCTTGAGGAGTAGAGGCGTTTAGATGTGTGGGGTAGCTTGGGAAGAAAACATCCCCTTAAATCAGTTAGTTTTCGACAGAAAAACAGATGTTCCACTGTCTCTGAGGGGTAGTCACATAGTGGGCAGGCAGCAGACTGCTTTACTCCAATTCGGTTGAGATGTTGGTTGAGGGGTACATGTTGTGTTCTAAGTTGGAAGATTATGGAGCTAAAATATTTCAAAGTCAACATGTTTGGTTTGATTCTGAGTCGTACAAGCGCTTGTTCCAGCAAACAGAATCCCATTATTCATTATATAAAGACAATAAAACAGAGCTGCTTAGTCCCGGAAACTTGTAAGACAGACAAAAAGTTAAAAAATCAGGGCAGGGAGTAAAAATGTACCATTTAGGATTATAATATAGTGGCGCCCTCCAACCACCCACAAACAAAGTCAACATCATTGACCCTCAGGGACATGGGACATGATCAGAAATAAAAGTTGAAATTCACACTGCTAATAACAGGACCAAAGAACTCACAATGACAGAGGGATGAAAGTAATTATAAAAATATCAAGTTTGTAAAAATGTCCCAAAGTGCATAGTGTCTTGTACCGTTCAATCAACCCAGCGAGAATACAGATGAGTTAGTTTAGTAGTTTAAGTCAGTATTTCACCGCACTTGCAACACAATAAGGTCATATAAGTGCTGAATATTAGAGTTGTTACAAGTAACAAACACAAAAAAGAAGGAGGGTAGATAAAGATGATAGATGTTTGACGAGAAAGAAGAAGCAAACCACACCAGAGCACCCGCCAACGCCAACCACCCACGAATAGAGCTGAAAATGCAAGTAGACAAAAAGTATGAGAAAAAGATTAAAGATAAAAGGGCACACAGGGAAATTGGCATGACTTTCAAATGGTTACCGTTTCTAAACGGGTGTGTGGATTATTACAAGAAAAAACAGAAAAATGAAAGCTACACACAGAATTTTATTCGGAAGAAAAACACACACAAAACACAACAAATTTGAGTTGTTACATACATATATATATATATATATATATATATATATATATATATATATCAAAACACAACAAATTTGAGTTGTTACATACATATATATATATATATATATATATATATATATATATATATATATATAAATAAAATATACTCACTCAATCTGCCGTTCCAAGAAGTCCACTCCTATGGTCTTCTTGTAGTCTCGAGTGAATATCCCTTTGCAATAACGCTGGATCATGCTGGACTTTCCCACGGCGCCATTCCCGACCACCACCACTTTGATGGCAACCTCCACCTCCTCCTCCCTCATGCTGGCGCCGTCTGAAGACGCGGACGAACCCAGAGCTACGAGACTATGCGCTCCTCTCCTCCCAACACAGAACTTAGATCAAAACACGAATTCCATGCACAATGAAAATACTATTATAATACATAGTGCCAGCCGGAGAAGTTTCAGTATTGGTGATGAGAATTGCTGTCAGCTTTCTTTACTAAAGAATTTCCAGCCTCTAAATACAAGTCCAGTGCCCGGCAACTAAGCTTAAAATCATTTCATTACGTTATAACACATCTCTGAAAGAAGTGACTCCGATTCTTTCCTTCAGTTAATGCACATCTTATTAGATCGGCACGAGACTCTCATGTAGTACTTCATACTTCCCCCTGAAATAGAGATCAAAAGTAAAAGGCGTTAAAATTTTACAAAAACATACTATAAGACTTTATTTGCTTATTAATAATATCATTTATTTTGTCCTTCCTCATTAGCAGGACCAGACAACAGAAAGTACAAAAAGTAGAACTTTAAAGTAAGATTATGATGAACTCTTTCTGAGCTAAAGGACCCTCCATAGTCTTGTCCTCATATAAAATAACTGTGCAGAAGGGACGACCCCCCCCCCCCCCCCCCAGAAGAAACAAACTTCTTCCTCCCTCTCCTAACTTCCCCCCCTCACTTCCATGCACATACAGGTCATATTTAATTACTTGATATCCTCCGCACTCTAAAAGATTGTGTAAGAATAGATTATTGTGTTCAGACAGGTCATATTTAATTACTTGATATCCTCCGCACTCTAAAAGATTGTGTAAGAATAGATTATTGTGTTCAGACAGGTCATATTTAATTACTTGATATCCTCCGCACTCTAAAAGATTGTGTAAGAATAGTAGTATAAGGTTTTACGGCGCTCGCAACTGCTAAGGTCATATGAGCGCTGTGTAAGAATAGATTATTGTGTTCAGACAGGTCATATTTAATTACTTGATATCCTCCGCACTCTAAAAGATTGTGTAAGAATAGATTATTGTGTTCAGACAGGTCGTATTTAATTACTTGATATCCTCCGCACTCTAAAAGATTGTGTAAGAATAGATTATTGTGTTCAGACAGGTCGTATTTAATTACTTGATATCCTCCGCACTCTAAAAGATTGTGTAAGAATAGATTATTGTGTTCAGACAGGTCATATTTAATTACTTGATATCCTCCGCACTCTAAAAGATTGTGTAAGAATAGATTATTGTGTTCAGACAGGTCATATTTAATTACTTGATATCCTCCGCACTCTAAAAGATTGTGTAAGAATAGATTATTGTGTTCAGACAGGTCATATTTAATTACTTGATATCCTCCGCACTCTAAAAGATTGTGTAAGAATAGATTATTGTGTTCAGACAGGTCATATTTAATTACTTGATATCCTCCGCACTCTAAAAGATTGTGTAAGAATAGATTATTGTGTTCAGACAGGTCATATTTAATTACTTGATATCCTCCGCACTCTAAAACATTGTGTAAGAATAGATTATTGTGTTCAGACAGGTCATATTTAATTACTTGATATCCTCCGCACTCTAAAAGATTGTGTAAGAATAGATTATTGTGTTCAGACAGGTCATATTTAATTACTTGATATCCTCCGCACTCTAAAAGATTGTGTAAGAATAGATTATTGTGTTATCAGAGTCAACACCTTTCATTACCAGTGTATGACCAATTTAAAAGAGCAGATTCTATTGGCTTGGGGTGACATCAACAGTAATCATCCATTAATTTGAGCACAAACCAAGACATTGTATGAAATATCAACAAATTTGCAGCCAACTTAACTCTTTTTTTTTTTTATGAAAAAGGAATCTTACGTTCTAGAAGCACACATAGATTGTGTACTGTATAGAGATCAGAAAATAAGAGTGGAGGAAAAATTTGGATACCAGTATATTATTCATATTGTGAATTTATTTTTCTTCAATAGCCACCAAGGAGTGAGCACTAGAGAAGTTAATTTTTGTTATTTAATCATAAACTATTAAAATTAAAAAAGAAAAGCTCCCAGAGGGAGCGGGGGATTCAGGAAAAGGACTGGCGCAGGAGAAGAAAACAAGAGCCCCCAAAACCTTTTTTCCTATCTGCCAAGACAAGAGCACAGTAAAGTGACTACAATAGTAAACAGTATGGGAATAACATGGCGTCTTAGCACCAACAGTAAGATCAAGGTGTCTCAATTTCAATTCCTAAGTGTACACATATATATATAAGCAAATGTAAATATTTGTGTAAAACAGATCAGGGGCTATTATAACAATGCCTGAGCATGAGATGGTAGTGAAAGTAAAATAATACCGAAGTCTATTCGTGTTCAGCGCATCAATATAGTAGAAAATAGGCTACAGGCTATTATTTAATCTTCCTTGCACTAGATCTACTGTCTCTCATACTCATCATCTCTACTCTGTAGTTTGACCCCCCAAAAGCAGCGCATCTGTGGTGAGGGAGTGAAAGCAAAAATTTCGGTGCATTTTCGGTAGTTCCCACCCCCCCTTATTTGAGCCTAGATCTACCGAGATCTATACGTTTGATACGCGGCGAGCTAAGATATCAAACCTAACAGCATAAAAAGTTCTGCAAAACATCAAATTATGGTAAAATTCAGGGGGGCATGAACCCCCAACTTATTTTTATTAGGTCAGGGGGGCAAGCCCCCCTGAAACCCCCCTACTCTTGGGGCCAATACCCGCAAATAACAATTGCAGGGTGGGAACTACCGAAAAAGCGCCAAAATTTCCCAGAAAACGGACACAGAATCTAGCTATGGCACGGGAGGGAAAGTAATAATACCGGGGAAAAAACACACAACTTTAAGTGAAAAACTCATAAAGTAGCCTGGACTTGGCCTTAGCCTAAGGTTGTCAACTTCAACTTCAGATTGAAGCTGAACTGTGAACTGAAAGTACAGTAACAGTGATGTAGGCCTACACTTGTCAGACTGCCCACCAAGACCAAGTGCTACAACCAGTATCAGTATCAGCCAGCATTATTTTATCACAAAATTCCTCGGATAACCCAGTTCACAACTGTCCCGAGGAATACACATCAAAAGAAACGGCACAGGAACAGTCAACGTTATTGTCCGTGCTAGCTAGACCTAGCGACACGGTTATGTACACCACCACCCCCACCACATCCCGCATCGGAATCACACTTCACTTCAAAAAAAAGTTCCGAGTCTGCTCGGCTCACAGGTGGAAACGGCTTTCCGATCATGAATAAACTGTCAAGGCAAATACTGTTTGCTGTGAGGTGAATGGGTTTCAAAAGAAACAATTTCTCCTAGATCTAGTCCGAGGACTGGAAAGACGCCTGCTGGACACACTAATCCGTCAATGATTCATTATTTACCTTTCTGTGCTGTTATCGCCGCCTCTCTGCCCGAAACTTTCTGCTTACTTCCCAAATGTTACTATTTACGTTCACTAGTTGTATTATTTTTATGCACAAGAGAGCTATACTTCCGCTTGGTGAAATGAGTGATGCGTGATTCCGTACGCATACGTGATTACATAGCGTCACAGCTGTTATACACCCGTCTCTATGCCTGATGCCTATCTTTTGGCTGTTCAGAGACTTCGTTCATAATTTGTCCGCTTGGTACACTTTTAAAAAGAATCTGACAAATTTGTTCTTTAATATTCTTCCTTCGCTTTTGCTGCCCAATTCCCCTTCTCCATCGTATAGGCTAAGAATTTTCCGGCATGTATTTGGTTTGGGCGGGGTGACAACTTCTCTCTAGGTGATGTTCGGAGGAAGTCAGGGAT